AGCAGGAGCATCAGAGCTGCTTCCAGGCCAGGGCTGCACCTACCTACCTGCAATCCAGCCAGGAGCCCTAGGAGCTGCTTAAACCATCTTGGAAGGACACAGAGGAGTCAGCAGCACAAACGTCCTACATCCGTGCACTGCGTCGGCACGGGCCCAGCTGGCTTTTCTATCAGCTTTGCAACGGGAGGAAATGGGCCATGCCCAGCAAAGAAAGCATTTATCCTGCCTGCTCCAAGCAGGGGCTGCCAAGCAGGCCGGCTCCTTTGCAGGTGACGGGGATCATAATGAGCAAATTAAGGAAAAGCTCCTGAGCAGATGGTGCCACAAAAGCAAAGACGGTAACAGTGGGTCACAGGCTCCTGCCAGACTTCTTGGAAAAATACTGCACCACAGCAGCCTGTCCTAACAGCAGGAGCTTGGACCTCACGCCAGGCATTAGTGCAGTCCTAGGACTCCTGCACAGGAGGGTTAGCATGCTGTCCTCTTGCAGATGCACTGCCCACATGCAGAGACTGCAGCTCCCCAAACACATGCAAGCCTCAGCCTTCACTCTGCAAACCTTTGAGCACCTATCCCGAGGCTGGATTATGCCTTCTTTTCCCCATCTCTCAACCTTCCAAAGCTTACTCAGTTTCAGGTTTGAATTCACTCAAAACATCAACATTAAACCTGCTGTTTGCTGAAGAGCTGCGTTCGCTTTGCAAGTTCTGCAAGCAGGTGTAATAAGATCATGTAAAACTTCTGATTTATCTTCTAATCGTTTATACCTCTTGGTTTGTACCATCCTCCATTACGACCAAAGCCTAAAAAGAGACTCCCTAATGAGCGTGTTCTGCAAAGTGGACTTAAACCCAAACACTGGACACTGCTTTGAAATATGCTATTTTAAAAGGTAATGCATGGGGTTCCTTTCTCCTCACCCTGCCAGAGCTGTAGGCAAATCTGCTAGAATAATCATGGTGCCTTCCTTTTGTCTGCACTTCCCTTCTGGAGATGAGCAGTAAACAAATGCAATTGAAGTTCAGTTTGACGACACAGACTCGTAGTCAAACCCAGAAGGTTTCTGCTGATAGGGAAAGAAGGCGCTCAAGGACCCTGCAGACAATCGGCTCTTTGGCATTTTTTGTGCTAACGTTTTTCCATGATGAAAGTTAAAATTTTGTTTATGCACATCTGCTTAGACTGATAGCTCTATCTTGGCAAGAGAATAAAAAGATTACTTTTATAATTAGTTTGGCCCAACCCAGAACATTCAATGACTAAGTGTCCTGGCCCTAACGTGAGCCCGGGTCCCGAGGCAGGCGGATCGGGATGCTGCTCCGGGATGTCTGCAGCGTTCCCCAAGCAGAATCCTGCTTCTTCGTGCCCAGCCCAGCAGCAACATGTACCATGGTGAGACATAATGGGCAAGTTGCAGCACTACAAAAAGGAAAAAAATCCTTTGGGCTATCAAATAAAAAGCTAAATGGCTTCTCCCCTCCTGCATTTTTCTTAACATTTTGTCCGAAGTTTCTTATGGGCAATGAGAGCTGATAAAGGAGGAAGATTCAAAGCTCTTATTAACATCCATGGGAAAGAAAATAATGCAATTCGAGCCAGAAGAAGGATTTTTCTTCCCATGCTTTTCCAGCCTTCCTCCCATCCTGGCTGACATCACCTAAACCCGATGAGCCCTGGTGCAGGCAGAGCAGCCCCAGAGCAGCAGCAAAACCCTCCAACCAGCCCCAAACAGCCGCAGCGACACGTCCAGGAGGCCGGTTCCAGGCAGCGACGCTCCCTGCGTATAATTCATGTCGATGAAATCGGTTGCAAATCAAGATGTCCCCAACCACTCCGCGCACAAGCCTCTTTGCCAGCAAGATTTACTTTAACGGATCATGTTTCCAAAGCCTCTAATGGCAAGACAACACAGCAGGTGCCCTATAATTAAATATGGCAAGATAAGTCAGCAGGAGCAGTCAATGCGCGTTTCCCTCCCTCGTGTTTATCTTTATAAAAAGGCTCCACTTTCCAATTATGTGGTGACCCAGTACCCAACACTCCTCCACTCAGAGCCAGCTGTGTGCCTGGTTCCCAGACAGGGCAAAAAAGCAGTTTAACAGCAGGAAGACAGCAGTCCACAATTCCACGTTTTGGATTTTACTGCTTGTTTTGATCAGAGCTCTTTATATACAGCTGCTTTATTAAAGCAGCTCTGTTTCCTTGTATCTGTTGCCATCCTTCAGCAAACAGATCACATTTGCACTTTGGAGGAACTTGAGCAAATCAGCACATTCAAAGCCAAGCATCTGGTGAACTAAAGTTTGCTCTGACAGCTACAGGCAAGAGACACCTCACTTTTTACATGCATCTTACTCCAAGACATTAGATTTTTGGAAGAGCAAGGAAAAACCACAAGATCATATTTTGCTTTGAAAATTTTACTGGGTGTCAGGAGAAGTCTCCAAGACATTTGTGGTTTCCCCATCCCGCCAGGATAAGGGCCTCTCAGAGAGCCTTTACATGGGAGGTTCATGGCAGGTGAATAAAAATGAGCAGTAGGAAGCCTAGGAGCAGCAGTGCAGCACAGGAGAGCTTTAGCTTCACCAAGCAGCAGTGCACGCACACACTGACCTCTGCAAAAGATGTCTTTTCTAAAGGAAGAATCTCAGGAGTTTAGTGGCCGAGCCCCGTTCAACTCCGTGGAATCCACAAGCCCGTGGATCTGCTCCGACTGGAAGCCAAGAGGAAACATGAACAGTCCCCCGGGCTTCGGTCTTAAGTGAAAACGCATTTGGTGGGATCGTTACAAGTGGGCGGTAGCCCTGATTCAGAAAATCTCTTCCTAAGGGAATTTCCAGCCTCGAATGGGAAAGTAAGGCTGAAGGTCAACGCGGAGGTGCCCTGGAAGAACCGCATAAAGGAAGTTCCCATGGCGAGTGACAGCAGCGGTGCCGAAGTGAGAACGCTCCGCATTCCCAGCCGGATTTGCAAGGGAGGCAAGAGCACATTCGGCTCCTCCCAGATGATTAAAACTCCTGTTTAAACCACACTCCTATCAGCCATCCCAGATGAATCCCACGTACCTCGCAGGAAACGCCATGGCCTGTCTTCCTCTCCGCATGCTGCTCCTCCTCTTCATCAGGGGGTGGCTTGGCCGGCGGTGGTGGACGCTCTCTCTGCAGATCAGAACACCACCATTAATTACCTGGTTTTACAACTCCCACTGACTCTAGAGCCACTTTGCTGTGAACGCAGTGTGGCAGAGACCACCTCAAATTAATCTGGGTAAGAGAGCAGCTTAGTCTTAACAGCAAAAGGGTTTGGAGAGCTTGGTAATAGCTGCTATCCTTCCTCTTCCTCGCCAGGATGATGCACAACAAAGCCCATGACCTTCCCTGCAGATTCATGGTACAGCACGGCAATAATAAATAATAATAATAATACAGATCACCCACCTCTGACCACAGCAGTAACACTGCAAAGAGGCAGCTCAGACCCATGTGGGCACCAGCTAAATTTTCAGCAGAACAGAGCAGCTCAGGTGGAAGGTGCCGTTTACGGAGCTTTATGGCCTCGTTCCTTAAGGCACTTCATTCAGACCCGGACTAGGATCTCTGGGACACAGCACTACACAGTAACTCATGCCAATGCGGAGAATGGGACCACTCATCGCTTGTGTCTTAGTGAAACAGTAAGAGGAGTAAGTAATTCCAGAGGCACATTTTGTAGTGAAAAATGCTAGGGAATCACGAGACAGTAGTGCATTGCACTCCTCCAATACCCCAAGCCCGTCCACAGGCAGTTAGGGCTGAACTGTCTTGCCTAGCTGCAGATCTAAACACATCCCTAAGCCATCACTCACCCTACAACAGCTCCATCTAATGACAGCTGAGCCGAATTGCTCATTCCAAGCAGCTCACCCAAAGTCTGGGACAAATTCCAGCAAGGTCCTGGAGCAGCTCCCTCTTTCTCCCTTTTCACTGCAGCTCACTCTCTCATCCTTTGTTTCTTAGGGTAGAGATGAGCTTATTCCATGTCAGACACCATCCAGCAGGACAGTACGTGGCTGGATTTAAGTCAGCAGGATGTAGGTAATGCCAGGATAATGCATTTGTACTGTGTGCCCAGAAGTTTGCCTGAAATGCCTGTGTGCTAAAGCTTTTGTGTCCCATTTCTGTTACAGCTGCCAGTGTAATACAGGAAGAAAGATGCACCTCGCTAGACCTGGAGGAACCAGACTTAGAGCATCACCAGCAGTTTTACCGTTCATTGCTGCTTTGCTTTCTGCCCACTCAAAAGAAAAAAAAAAAAAAGAAAAATCAGAGGAAAAGGCTTTCTAAACACACGCCGCAGAGCAGCTCTGCAGCTCACCCAGCACATGCTGCAGGGCCAGCAGCCCATCTGCAGCACTGCCACCAAAGGCTAAGGAGGTGGCAGATGCACCTAGCAGAAAGTGAGAAAGACTTTGGAGACAGTTTTGGTAGCTACACATTGCCTCGTAAAGCCTCGAGTACCCTCTACAGATCTCCAGCAGTAACACACAGACGGCTTCAGCTGCCAGCTGCTTTACCACAGGATCTTCTTAAAGGTATTTTCTTTGGAGCCTTCTCTTGGGCAAGGCAGAGTGAGAGATGAAGCAAGAGCTACAGAGCAGAGCTACATACCGGCCTGACTCCTGCTGCTTTAACACCACTTGTCTCCACTTCTTTATTCACGGACTCCCGGTCGGAAGATCTCCCGCTGGCAAGACTGTCCAGGGAGTGGCAGGACGTTGCGTTGTATAAAGCTTCATACGGGCTCTCCTCTTCTGGGTTCACATCGAAATCGATGATCAGTTCCGTGACCGCCTTCTCCACGTCACCTGCGAGGACAGGACGGGACACAGGACTGCATCGCTCGGGGCTTCCACCCTCTGCAGCTCAGCCCATGTGGGAAGGAGCATCGGCCACTGCCGCCTTGTGCGGACACCTACCCTGAGACACCCGGCACACGGGGTCAGTGGCAGCAACAAGTGGTACCTGGACAATCTTCTCTGAAGATTTAGCACTCTTCTTCCCGATCGTGTAATCTGCAGTGAAGTGGGGTGACACACACGTGAGGGCACTTGAGTTTTAGGTCTGCTTTAGCACATGGTGTTTTCCTCCCTTGCGAATGGAAGCCCAAAGTGTCAGCTGATTAAGTTTCCAAAAAGTAAATGAGGTACATTACTGAGTCTTTCAGCTCAATTCCCAAAATAGAAGCAGGCAGCCTCTTTAATCACTCGCTCAAAGTCACAAGTGCTTTCTGAACCTTTACAGAGCCTTTAATAAGGAAGCTGCCAAATTCTTGGATAGATGCAACATCAGGGAACAGATTACCTCAGATGTCAAAGATACAAGCTACACTGCTATGCAGAGATGTATAAGGCAGAAAAAAAAAAATTCTAGTTTTGGTCACCTAACCACAAATTTAAAAAGGCCAGAAACATTAAACTTATGTGAATCAAGACAGACACCAGCAAAGCTCATCCCACAGGAGCAAACTACCAGCGTTCACCTGCCAGGACCTGAGTTTAGGCCAGTCTCTGTCTTCAGTTTCAGAATTGAGGGAATACCTACCAGCCTCAGAGGCAAAGCTCAATTAAAAGTCTGCAAGGTGCTTTGAACCTGCGAAGCTCTCAAATGTTAAGCATGAATAAAACACACCAGTCGAGGACGCTTCTGATCTTTCTCCCCACAGCCAAGAGGAAACTGAGACAGGGTAATTACAAGGTACGAATGCAACTAAGATGCCACTTGTCATTCCCTAGCTTGGGCAGAAAAAAGAGCCAAGCCGTTCTAGAAGTCCAAAATAATCAAGACCTTTTCTGCAAATCTCATTGCAAAATCCATGTCCAGGCTTTCCAATGAAGTGGTAAGTAGGACATAGGATCAGTGGATGACTATTTGCCTATACAGACATATAGAGTTAATCCAAATTGCTGTACTTTCTATATTCCTGTACTTTCCACAAACAGATTTTGGGCTACCCTTAATTTTAATTAACTTATAAATTAACTTAAGCAAAACTCAATTAAGCCCATTTAAAGTGTAAAAGCGATGCCACACACTGTAAGCAAGCAAACTAATCCCCCTTAAGTCCATTCCTGGAAGCCCTCCCACAAACATGTGCTCTGGAGACAGTCCACCACTAGGAATTTAAGCACCATTTCTTCCAACACCCTTCTAAGGATCCCACCAAGTGACCCAGTGTGAGGCTGCTTTGCTTTCAGTGCTTTCCAGGACCACAATAAAAAGGGAAATCCTGTACTTGCACGAGCACAGTTTTTGGCTAAACCTTCCCTTCCTGCTCACCGATGCTACGGCACTTACCTTCAATGAGAGCTGCTATATGTTGGCTCTTCTGAGAAGGAAGTTCCCTCACAATTTCTAGAGCTGTCAGGCCTCTGTTATCCTTTATGTTCACATCAATACCTATAGCAATAGGTGTAGAAATGGCAAAAGCAAGAACATTTTCTAATTACATGCAAATTTACCTCTTTAATCAATCACAGCTTACATTTGCCATCATCACCAGGAAGGAGTTAAAAAAAAGTGGTTTCCTCGAGTGCTGTGAGAAGGCATCACTGTATTATTGCTTCGGAGGGGGATCAATCTCTCACCTGCAGCCAGCAAGATTTGTACCACATCTGTCTTGCCAAACAAAGCAGCTTCGTGCAAAGCACTGCCCTTTTCAGTCTGCAAATCAAATGGAAAATAGCATGAACGTAGACAGTGGGGAATGGGGATGGAGGAGCGTTGTAGAAGGTTACAGAAGTGATAAATATTTTGCATCGTATATAAAAAAGGCAACAATATCTACAGTGAAACCACCCACACTGCTACACTAGTTTGGAAGTGAGGTGCAGGCTCAGACTAAACGCCAAGATGGACCTTTCTAAGGCTTCAGGAGGGATCATAGAATCATAGAATGCTTAGGGTTGGAAGGGACCTCTAGAGATCATCTAGTCCAACCCCCTGCACACGCAGGGTCACCTAGAGCACGTGGCACAGGGCTGCGTCCAAGCGGGTTTGAAGATCTCCAGAGAAGGAGACTCCACAACCTCTCTGGGCAGCCTGTTCCAGGGCTCTGGCACCCTCACTGGGAAGAAATTTTTCCTTAAGTTCCTGTGGAATTTTTGGCGCTTCAGTTTCCGGCCATTTCCCCTAGTCCTATCAGTGGCCACCACTGAAAAGAGACCAGCACCATCTTCTGCACTCCCTCCCTTGAGGTATTTATATACACTGATTTATATACACTGATCCCCTCTCAGTCTTCTCTTCTCCAGGCTGAACAGGCCCAGCTCCCTCAGCCTCTCCTCGTAGGGCAGATGTTCCAGGCCCCTGATCATCCTTGTGGCCCTGCGCTGGACTCTCTCCAGCAGCTCCACATCCCTCTTATACTGTGGACCTGACAAGGACATGAGACCCCACCACACACAAGTCAGTGATGTGAGAGCACCCTAGTGACAAGTGGCTTTAGCAAGGACCCCTCCAGGAGGAAGGATCTCTACTTTTCCCTGACACTGGTACACAGGTCCTCAGCCCCCAGCAAGCTGTGCAGCCCTTGACCCATGTGGATACGCTAGACGATACCTGATAGTTGCTATCCATGCCAGCATCCAGGAGGACGTGCACTACAGCCTTGTGACCATTCCTAGCTGCCAGGTGCAGCGGAGTGTGTTTCTTGGTGTTGCAGCTTAAAAGGTTGGGGTGGGCGTTCAAGAGCATCTTCACGACTTCCAGCCTCCCGTAGAGCGCGGCCAGATCCAGGGGAGTCTCGAACTTGTTGTTGCGCATGGTGGGGTCCGTGAGCTCCTCCAGCAGCACCTTCACCACCTCGGTGTGGCCGTACTGGGCCGCGCAGTGCAGCGCCGTCTCGTTGTCGTTGTTCTGCAGGGTCACAACCGCCCGCGCGTCAGAGCGGGGGAGCCCGGGGCCGCTCCGCGTCCCGCTCCCACCGTTGAAGTTTAAATGCAAAAACAAGACAAACAAGCAGAGGGGAAGCGGAGAGCCCGGGCTCGAACCGGAGCCCGGGTTTTCATCCTGTCATTTCATCATGCCATTCACCAGGCACAGATATCCCCTTACGGATTCATCAACCAACCCACCCAGGAAAAGCCTGGAGAAGCTTCACAAACATTCAGAGCAATGAGCTTTGCTCATACATGGGAAATCTATTCTGTGGGAAATAGCTGCTGTATTTGGGTAGCTTTCAAAGCCTTTAAGGTCAGAAGCAAGAGACCATACTGACATTTAAGGGACTTTTGAGCCGTATTTGGATTCCCATTAGTTCTGCTAGCTCTCAGGGAAAGCCACCTGCTTTATCTGTTGGCAGCAACCCGCAATTTGGGGCATCAAATCAAGGACTGCAGTAGGCAATAGGCAAACTGCAGCATTAATTCTCCCTGCTGTAGCTTAATTGTCATCGTTTCAGATTTAAACTTCAATTGTTCAGAATCCTACTTATCCTGATTATAACAGTCATTCCACCTTGGCAGCGCTGCAGCTTGCAAGCTGGTCAGAGTAGAAAGAGGGTGCAATAAGTCGCATGCAGTTTGTGAATTAAGAGGTTATTGAGCAAGGCAGATAGATCACTCCAACAAGCCTTTCATCATCAAGGCCTCAGGTCAACCAGCAAGGAAAAAATATCCACTAATAATGATAATACCCAAGCTACAAGTGAAAGCCTCCACAGCAAAAGCCCCATCCAGTTAACGCATGCAGCATCTCTCAGCTTAAAATCAGCAATGCAAAGTATTTAGGGACAAACAACCTAAGCATTTCATTTCCAGGTGCAAAATATGAATGCTGCCAGATTCCAAACACATTTGCCTTTTTTTTTTTTTCTCCCCCCTTTCAACTCCAGTTCACCTCAAGCTTCTAGTTTCACTACTGTGAACTATACAAGGAGGAACTGCTGTGCAAGGACTTGGGAAACACTTATCTAGGGATTTAATAGGTCCTTACAGACTTTACACACTTAAACTTTTTTTCGAAAGATTCACAGCACAGTTGGTCATTCTAAGGACAGATCCCATTAAAAGGGAAATGTACTTATTTTGACAGGTAAGAAGCATTGCTCTAGGAGCTCTGTGACTGTGCACACTTCTTTGGATTGCACTTTGCAGGACAGGTCAATATTTTGCACCATTTCACAAACAAGCTGCAGAATTTGTGCTCTGAGAGGACTTAAATCCTGTTACTGTGTTAAGTCCTGCCAGGGATTACAAGGGTCATGCATGCAAACTCCCCTCGGGTTCTCGGGGATTTGACTGCATCCTTTTTCAGCCACGTGAAAAGAGTCAGGGAAGCGGGAGGCTCTGGAGAGGCTCCCCAAACACGGCTGGGATAAAAGCCAGCGCTCCGGAGGCCGGGAGCAGCCGCGTGCAGCGCCGGGGGCTCGGAGGAGGCACGGAAAACACGGCAGAGTCACGTTAGCAGAGAAGTCACAGGGAAGCAGCAGGCGCTACACGTGGAGCGGCCGAGGCAGCCACGGTGAAGGAAGGGACATACAAGTGGACAGAAGTTACTGCAGAATAAAAGTTGGCACATGAAATACACACAGGGAGTGGAAAAGGGGAGAGAACAGAGAACTACAGAGATCATCACACCTATGGTTCTGCTTATCCTGCTGCTCTCGAGGTATTTAACAGGGCCATATGTAGCATAGTCTTATTTGCCAGGGAAGGGAACTGGGGACTGGTCACAGGTGATAAAGTGCCTTGAACCTTCTAGCAGGGGCTTCCCCCATGGCAGACTGGGCCCTGCAATTCCTGCTCTTGCATGAGTCCTCCTTGTCTCTGTTTTGGGAGAGCTTTGAGCAGTCAAAGATCCTGGAGCTCTTCCGGGGAAGGCACATGGCCTCCCTTCCCCATAGCCAAGCACAGAGCAGAGGGGAGCCTCAGCTGTGAGCACAGGAGCTCCAAGCTTCGTATTTACAGGAGATGCAAAAAGGATGGAACAGGGACAGTGTGAGTGCCTCTCCTCCAGGCGAGCGCCATCCGAGTCCTCAAGCCCTGGTAGGTGGATACCCCACGTTACAACCCTTGCAGATGTGCCTCACACACTACAAGGGAGCTCCTGCAGCTCCTTACGGCAGCTCTGACAGCAGCTGCTCTCCTCTTCCTCACAGGGCTTCGCTCCAAGAAAGGAAGCCTTAGACTTTGTAAGTTATCTTCCCAAACCAAACAAAACCCCTCCACAAGCAATGGAAATTGCCTGTTTTACCGGTCTAGTGACACGTCTGATACTGAAGCCCTGAGCACGGATGTCCCTCTTGCATCCACTGTTGTTTCACAGTTAAAAGATGAAGTAAAAACCCAAACTTGTGCAGAAGGTGACACCTAAGGTGACACCTAAGGCATGTCACAAGCTTCAGGCCCAAAACAGGCCAGAAGAGTGGGCAGGAGCAGCCCTGTCACCATCTCCTTCCCTCCTCCTCCTCCTCTCGGGGCACACACGAGTGCCAGTAGCGCCTTATTAGCAAGAATAGGGATCAACAGACCCCCTGCCTTCCTCCAGGCGCCCGGTGCCAAACGCACTAATACATTTCAGGAAAGGAAAACGATCCCCATATGTCCAGAGAGCTTTCGGGAGCCCTGCAGGTGGGTTTGCTGCCCAGGCCCATTTGCAGACTCCAGATGGTCGGCTTCCACCCTCCTCCGCGGCCCATCTAGATTTCGAGCACTTTCAACCCAATCTGCATTATTCATTTGCTTCTAATTAAAAAAGCCAACAGTAGGTTGTGAAGCGCAGTTTGTTTCTCCTTGAGCTATGTGGCAGCCTCCTCCGTTTCGTGTTTGCTCAGCTCCTTCGTATGGATTAAACAGCCAAACCCAAGGCAGCAGAATGAGCGCAAAAAAGCTACTTCTCCATCTCTTTGCCTAAACTTCTTGCTTTTCAGAAGTCCTTCAATACATTTTGTAGGGACCAGATATTTAACAAAAGGTATTGAAGGGTAAGCCAGAAAGTTAACTATTTCTCCTGCTTTTAGGAGGGTAAGAAGCTTCTGGCTTTCTTAGCTTTTCCTAAGCAGGATACCAACCTGATTTGTAGCCAGGCATATATAAAATGCTTTTCCCTCTTCTAAATTTCTGCAAATGTTTGGAAGGATGGAACAGCTTGTTCTGATCACTTCACAATTGAACTGCACTCTGCATGGGAGCTGAGAAGCTGGAAGCACCAACCAAGCAAGGGCCCTTACGCTTTGCACCTGAGCTTTTGCTCTGCAGCCTGCATCAAGCCTATCAAAAACCCAAGGTTTACAGGAAAGGGACCATTCCACACGCTCCTCATCAAACCTGGTCAAAAACTGGCAAAAAGATGGTCACAACTTCTCATGACCCTATCCGTGAAATAAGCCGGGTTTGTCCATCTCCCTAAAACCAAGGCAGGGCATTCAAAAGCACTAGCCTTAATCCCAAGAGCCTGCAGAACCCAAGTAGCATTGCCAAAGTCCCAAACTAAACACCTACTAAAGAAACTCCTCAAGAAAGCTCACTCAGCTTCATCCTTATACAGCTTTCCCATTCAACATTTTAATACTAGAATACTGCAAGATTCACTCCACCATCAATACTTTAGATAGCTTCTTTCAGATGGTTCAATTGCTCAGCTGTAACACGTTTCCACGCAGGACATGTGTTACTGTAAAATTCCAAGCTGCATTTTTTATCAAAATCACAGCTAAGGATGAGTTTCATGTAAATATATTTATGCTTAAAGAGGTTTCCACTAGAACACTACCTGAAATAGCAGTCTGCAAAAGCAATGAACTTAATTCCCAGCGGCTGGTAAGCTCAGGAATTTTGAATGTGTTTTTAAGGCACTGCAGAGGAAGCAGAGCAGAGGTTTTGACTAAACTCTGACACACAGATCTGCCATGGGTGGCTGCATCCAAAACAACGGCCTGGAAGCAACTGTGGCGTGGCAGCCGAAAGCAGAAGTATCTCACGAGAAAACAACAAATTCTTACACCACCACAGGCCTGGAGCTTCAGTTTGAGTAAAAATGAAAAGTGGGGAGTTTCTGAGAAAATACCACCATGTGTTCACACCAACAAGTGACCTAGGAACTTCATCTGCTCCTGCAACTGCTCAGTCTCAGCGCATCGTAAGTAAGTACTTGTGTTGTGTCTTTTGGTAGCTCAAGAACAGCTAAAAGCAGAGAGGAGCAAAACAGGCAAGAAAATGAGAACAGAAGACTAAGGCTGAAGGGTCAGACACACAGCAGACTTGACACCAAAAAATAGAGACTGATGCAATAAGCAGGACATGAAGGACTTGGGAAGGGAGGTGTAAACGTTAGTACCTTCCCTTCTCCCCGCCATCACCAAAAGAATTAGCTGTCCATTCCAACAAATACAGGATTATGCATTTTATAGGAGAAAAGGCATGAAAATTCACTCCAAACAGCCCACAGAGAAAACGCATCCATGTTTAAGCAGGAAAATAAATTTCCTTCTCTTTGCATTTATCAGCAACATTAGCACATGAAACAATACCTAGAGCATTTTAATTGAAGTAACATTACCTTTTGGAAGTCATCCAGCCAAATCAAGCAAACTGACCATCACCGTGAGTCCTACAAGGCTAAGCAATGAAGGAGCCCCCAGGAAAGTAAGGAAAAGCTTCCCTTAAATTATGTTTCTATAACTGCTTTGAAGAAAGAAACCCACAGTAAATAAATGGTTGCAATTTTACTTTTCCCCAAGCAGCTGTGAACTGAACAGGTATTACTGCAACTGGATGACATTGCACCTGGAAGCACGCGAGTGCAGCTTGAAGTAATGATGCAGTGAAATGCTGACAGCAAAGTACACACCTTGGCATTGATATATGGGTCAAAGGGGCCGTACTTTTTGAGTTCTTTGATCTCAAGAGCATTCTACAAAAAGGAAGAGGAGAAAAGAAAAAAAAATGTGATAATGAAATGGGTGAGATATAGCAACAAAGCAATGGGTGACTCCCAAGGGGTGGAAGTGACAGAACACACAGCATCTTGTTCCAGTCAAGAGCTATTGGCAGCAGAAGCCATTCCAGCTGCCGGTTCCTGTAACTTGAACCACTGGGCACTTCATTTGCAGGACTCCAAACACCAGCAGCACAGGGTGTTCAGCTCACTCCTCTCTTCCACTAAAGGGACATTAAGGAAACATTACCTGGAGGGACTGCCCTGAGCTGTTAATCCTATGCAAAGGCTTCCCCTCTACCTGTCCTCCTCACAGCAGCACAGTTTACACTCAGGCCCCTCAGTCAGTTCTTATCAGATTGATTGTAAACAGTTTACTACCCTGCCTGAACCTATTTAAGCAGACTGAAAGCCTGCAGCTGTGCCTGGGGTTGTTACTGTTATTAAGCACAGCCCCAAACTGGAAAGCCATCAACAAAGGCATTAACACACATGCTGCTAATTAGTCCTGATGAACAGAGGGGTGGTACTGCTAAGCACTACCACAGTATTTTTCATTTTATGATGCTTTAGAAGCCATCATTGAGCCTTAGAACAACCCTGGGAGGCAAGTTAACTATTTTACATTGAGGATCAAAAAGCTTAGGCAGGGCACTTGGTGCCCCCAAAGCATGGGTGGAAGCAGGAATAATGCTCCTAAACTTGACTCCTCCAGGGAGCTGGCTACTCAGCTTCTGAAAAAGTTTAATTTTGATCTGTCCTGTATACAGCAAAAGCTAAAAGCCCCCATATCATTCAGCTGGACCTTCTCTGACCAGTTTTGTTAAGCTTGAGCCAGAAATATCTATGTTACTTGTGAATTAACTTCTGAGCAAATACACATTTTCAGCCCTATGGTATGAAGGCAGCCAAATTTGCTTTGATTCCCTCCCTCCTACCTGGCTGATAACCTGAGTGGTTTAGCAGTGGAGTCACAAGGACAACAGATATTCCTGCCTCCAGGACAGGGCAGCCAAGGGTCTGTTGCAGCTCACAGCACCCGATTTGAACACGTTACCGTGTCTGCCCAAGCTCACTCGGTCACAAGCAGCTCAGCAACAGAGCTCAGCTGGCCTTGCTGTGCAGAACAGCCCTTTATATAAACCAATCCATCTGCATCTTAGCCCCAAAGCAATCAGGTTGACAAATGGAAGAAATCTGCATGACTTTTTCCTTGCTTGATTGAGAAAATATCTTATTAAGTTAGAGATTTATCTGGGGCCAAGTACAGCTAAAATTATCTTACAACTTACAAATTAGTTAACTGGAGCAAGTGCTAGAGACAAGCCAGGAGAGGAGCTAAGAGAGCGGGGCCAAACAAAGACTAAACGAAGCTGCTTTGATTAGTTCCCCAAAGAAGGGAGCCAGTGGATCCTTTGACAGTACTAGAAATCTTCTCGGTTATTCAGCAACTGAAAGGAAAAACCATTTGTGTTAGTTTTAGAAGCCCAGTATGAAAGCAGGAGACCACTTCCTACGTGCTCAGTGGTTCTCATAGCATATATTTTTACGTAGATAAGCATATATATACTCAAGCACTAACTCAGACTGGAGGTTTTGCTTTAGACAGCCCCCTCCTTATCCTATTAGCAAGCAGGACTCTACAGCACTTGCTAGCAGATTGGGCAGGTCAGGAGGCAGCTGAAATGGTCTTTCTACATCCTAGCGAGGTGACTCAATGACATGTGGCACTACAGAGCAACACGCAGACCTGCTCATTCACTTTGGTGTGCGAAGGCCCTTGGTGGATGAGGAGTTTCACTATGTCTGCATCTCCTTTCCACGCTGCCAGGTGCAGGGGGTAACAGCCTTTGCAGTCCGCTACGTTGGTTAGAGCGTCGTTCCTCAGCAGAACTTCCACCACGTCCCTGCAAGAGAAGGGAAATGTGAGTCCAGGAGGGATCCTGTCCCTGGTCACATAGGATTTTATCCCCCCACCCTTTTTTAATCACCTGAAGAGAAATATTTCAGGGATTATCTTGAAATAAGATTTTAATGTGCTCCTATTAAATGCTGCCAAAGAAGAAAGAGTGAAAGACTGTTGAGAGGAGCTTAGAAACAGCCTATGTTATTTTTGTACTAATGCAGCTGAAAACAGAAGTCATCCGCTAGCCATTCTGGTGAAAAGTGAATTGCATCAGCACAGTGAAGCTGAATAAAGATTTTTAGCTTTATTCAATCTCCCAGTGGTTTAGGCAGCAGTGAAAAACACAATATCTACCATACTGAAGACTATAAATTTAGAAATGTATATATAATGTGCAAAAGCAAATTTAAGTGGTGCATGTACAGCAATACTTTAGAAACCAGGCTGCAGAAGACTGTTACTGAGGAACCCATCTTTAAGACCTTTTTATATATTACCCAAACCATTTGCAAATAAAGAGGTGGATGAAAGGCTCAATATTCTGTCAAATTAAAAAATACCATATTATATATATATATAAAAAAATATAAAAAACTCTATTCTGCAACTGTTGCCTCTGTATGTTCACTTCTTGGCCTGAAGATGGTGTAGTTCTGCACCACTGCCACCTTTTCCTTTAGAAGGAAACAGCTCCACATTGGAGAGATTCCTACAGAAACCAGTTTGCAAAGCACGCTGCTTTCTGCGTGACAAAAGGCATTAAAAGACAACTCACTTATGACCATTCAGAGCAGCGTGGTGCAGCGGAGTGTAGCCGGTGCTGTCCACGCAGTTCACATTTGGCCCTCTCCAGATGCTGCAAGACAGAAAACGCACAGGGAACACTTAAACGTGCATCCAGTATCCAGGGAATCGGCAGGGAAAACGCGGCCGGGTCTCCTGCCCCGCCGTCTG